CACTATCAGTTAATTGCTTACTTAGTTTTTCTATTTTTTTGCTCTTTTGACTTGATTCTTCCTCCAACTTTTCAACTCAGGCTTCTAGATGAGAAATCTTTGCACTAGCACTTTTGAGTTTCTTGTTTTTCTCTTTTATGTCTTCTGCCTGATTTTTGCTTCATTTTTCACCAACTGCTATGACTTCCTTAACTTGTTCCTGTTATATCTTTACTCTTTCTTTTAGCTCTTCTACCTCTGCCTCTAAATCTTTAATTCTTTCAACTTTACTTTTGATAATGTCTTTAAGAATTATATCCTTAGCTGGTTGACCAAAAATTTCACCTCCTTCTTCTATTTGAGAAAAAATATGAGCTCTTTGATTTCATAGTTTTCAATCTTTTTTCAATTCAGTGGCTAACTCAGTGTCTTCAGAGTAATCTATAATAATTCTCTCAACTACTTTTTCTAGATTTTCTTTACCTTCCCATTTATAGTTGTGCATAAGACTATGTTAAAAACAAACATTCATAAACTGATTTCTTAATGGTTTGCTAATCAATTTCCTTAAATCTTGTTCAATATTCTTACTACAATGAGGAAATCTATTTTTCATATCTACCAATATTTGGTGAATTTGGTCAATTGCTTCTTGCTTAAATTCAGCTTCTTCTTGTTCACTTACTTCTAGATTTTTTAATTCAGTAATTTCTTGTTCTTTATTGGATAATTGCTTTTTCAATGTTTCAATTTCATTGATTAGTTCTTTATTTGCTTGTTGTTGTTCTTTTAGGATGTTTGTCATGATTTTCTTGATTGTCCCTTTTTTTATTTATTCTTTTAATATACTTATATCCTTAGGGTATGTTAAGTATATAATTATTTTAGTACTTTTTACTTTAAATGTGGAAAAAAGCTAACAATATTTGTTAAAGATTAAACTTATTAGAGGCAAAAATTTAAAGTTAATTCATCATTATTAAATGAAATTCTACATAGAAATAATAATAATAACAAACTCAAGGGGTAATTTATTATCACTAATTTTTTTGTTAAAAGTAAATAACGAATTTATGTATCATTTGGTTAACCAATGTTATGGAGTTACTAAAGATCCAAATGAAAATGATTATTTGTTGGTATTCGAATATGCTCCAAATGGAGATTTACATAAACATTTATCAAAAGATTTTAAAAAATTACTTGGCAAGATAAAATTGATTCGCTTTTGAGGATTTCATTTGGGTAAATTTATATTTATTATTAGATTTATTATTTTATTTTATGAAAAAAATAACATTCATAATGACATGCACAGTGGTAATATTTTTTCATATTCTACATGGAGTAATAGAATAGGAGATTTGGAGTTATGTCAACAAATAGTTGATAAAAAAGATAACATCCATGGAATAATTACATATTTGGCACCTGAAGTACTATCAAAAAAACCTTATACAAAAGAGTCAGATATTTACAGTTCTGGCATGATAATGTGGAGCATACCACAGGAAAGAAACCTTTTCATGATAGACCACATAATCATATTCTTATATTAGATATTTTAAAAGGAGAAAGAACTCAAATCACTGACAATACTCCAGAATTCTATGCTGAATTGATGAAAAAATGTTGGGATCATAATCCAAAAAAATAGACCAACAGCTTATGAAATTTGAAATTGTTTATGGGAATATATATTTGGAGAAAAAAGAAAAATTATCTACTCAGCAGAAGCCAAAAGACAAGAAATCATCAAATCAGAAAAATTCCTTACAAATACAAAGAATTATAAACATCATCCCAAATCATTTTATACAAGTCATCTATTAAATGAATCAATCCAACAAGCTGAATCATTATTAAACCTTTTATCAACTGAAATTCAAAATAACATTAAGAATCTTTTTTATTTTTTTTAATTAAAAGTTTATAAACGTTTTAACTTTTTATCTTGGAAAAAAAAAAAGACTTACATACAAACAAATCCTATTCTCAGAATTACAAGGTAATGATTCTTCAGGTAGACAAGAATCTAAATAAGAAAAATAATTTGTAAAAGAAAGTTACACACCAACTTTTCATAATGTATTTAATTTAATAAATACATATTTGATGAAAAAATAACATATAGTTTGAAAAAAAAGCTATCTTCCATTAGTGGAAAATCACCTTATTCCAACTTCAAAACATTTGTTGTTAATTAATAAACAATGAACTGTTACTTCGTTGCTTCTTATTGGAAACCTTGTTCAATTCATATATCTTTAAAGCTAATACATCATATATACACATTTTATTTGCATGCTTAATCGATTTGACTATTTATGGTGATCAGTTTTCTTTTTTAAAAAACATTCATGGTACATGGTTACATATAATTGCATTATATTATTATAATAATATTTATGCTGTTAGCATCATTTATTAGCAATATATTCATTACTATCTATGGCAAACACAAATTTTTACAATTGCTAGTTATATTAGTTATATCAAAAGCTAACTTCAATATATACATGAAAAATATATAAACAAATAATAAACAACTATATTAAATAATAAATGATTTATTAAATAATTAATTATAATTATTCACTATATTGCTTTTGATTATTAAAATTATTTTGTAATAAGTTATGTAACTCCTTATACCTTTTAACTCATCTAGATAAGCTTATTTACTGTCATATCCTGTTTTGCACTACCACGATCTTTATTATGTGAAAGTTTTAATAGCTTTCTAATATTGTGGCTATTGCTTAGATGAGAACTCTTTTTATTCCTTGATTCTTGGAATTTTTTGTCAGCCTCTTTAATCAATAACTGAAAGATGAAATGTAAATTAATAAAAAAGAATTCCTTTAAAAAAAAACAACAACAACAAAACAACAGTGTGACTTACTGCCCATGTGACAATTGCTCTATAGAAAGTAAGGTTTCTGTTCCAAACTGTTTTCTCAAAGCCCAACTAGTTTGGGCAATTTGGGCTTCTCAACATTTTTTATAAGCATGAACATTAAAAAACTATATGAATCAACTTGTTTTAACTTAAACAACTTTAAAATAATTTCACCCAATTTCGGCTAGTAACAAAAAGTAGTTTGGGCTTATAAAAAAATAATTTTTGCCCAAAGTATTTGGCTACTAATAGAAGCAGTTTCGGTCAGAAACCTTAATAGAAAGAGACAAAATTTGGAATTTCTTTCCAATCTATTGGAATTTCACAAGATTCTATCTCAAAAATACAATACTGGCCTTTGTATTAAAAATAAAAATAAAAAAATAAATAAATAATTAATTAAATGATTAATTAATAATTTTTATTATATTAAGTTTTGACATGCACACATACCGATATAATCCATAAAATAAATTTTAAGTTAAATTCATAAACTTGAACCATAAAGGATCTAAAATATGATGGAAGTGGTCTTTTGTGCAACACTTCTTGAATTACCGCAAAATTAATAATATCTTTGGCAGCACAGGCATTTTGGATGAAATCACTTGTTTCTTTGTTTTTTTCAACAACATATGGACAGCTTCCTTCTGTTGCAGAAATTTCATAGGAATTTTTGCTGATTCAACGTATATGCCATTCCATCTGCCCGATCAGCATTTCCTTTTTGATTCATGATATTTTTTCTATATACTGAAGCTTTAATAGCTTTATTTCCTCTACAAAAGTATGATGAAAGTTAAATAAACTGTTACATATTAATAAGGTAGGATCAACAAAAATCTATACTTACAGCACATATCTAATATCGGAAAAATGGCTCAAGGCTCTTTTTAAAACTGGATGAACATACATATTCATATATTCTTCCTCATTCATTTCTTTGTTTTTAAGAGGATTTTCAGACATAAATTTGTAGGAATCAAGACTAGAATTTTGAACCGTTATCACATATTAATATCTACAAAAAAAAAAAAAATGCTCCTTATATACTTACAAAATTGGCAATGTTTCTATTATCAATCTTTTTAATTTTATAATAAATTTATTTTGTTTTGGAGTAGCTTCCATCAAGCTCTCGACCTTGTCTTCCCATTGTTGTTCGCTTAATTTTTATAAATAAATAAGGCAAAAAATTCAATTTTTATTATCAAATTGCATGATCATTAATAAGTGGTGCAATATTTGTATGATTTACCTCCGAAAAAAAATCAATTAAAAAATTTATCAGCTTCTTCAGGAAAGAGCTTGTCAATTGGGTCAAAAACTTTTTTTATCAACGAATCATATTTTGTTTCCTCAAGGTACATAAGGACAAATTCAGATGAGGGACTTAAGTCTATTATTGCATTTTCAGAAAGGATGTTTTTTACTTCACATTGGTAAGTATTAAAATTAGGTAAGATTGTACTGAATTCTTCTAAATAGGTTGACTTGTCTAAAAGTTTTCTGATTTTGATGTCATATTCAACATCTTCTTGATTGTCAGACTACTTGAGAAATTAAGAAATTAGTCAATCAATATAATTATCAATATATCAATTAAGGATTTTTATAACTCTCCATTGTTTTCATTTTCTTCATAATCTTGTGATTCCTCGCTAATGTCAATATCATATTTTCCATTATAAGACTGTGAAACAGTGTCTTTTGATCTTTTATTATATGAAAAAAAGTTTACAGAAAAGTTACAGGAAAATACAGAAAGTTTATTAAAAATTTACATGAATCTTATTCTATATGAACTAGAGTAATGACAAGTGGCGGGCAATAACCACCACCACCATCCTTAAAACACTTACCCATAAATTTCTTCTGCTTCGTCTTCTCTGCTTCTTTTTCACGTATTTTTTAATCTGTTGGACATTTTTTAAATTTTTAAAAGAATTAAAAAGAAGTTAGTTGTTTGATCGATGCATACAGCATAGTGGAAATTTGAAATGTTACACTAATTTTTTATATTGTGCAATGTAGCTTTACAATACACGACAAACATTCTGGCAATAAAAAGTAAGTGATAAACTGGATTTGAATTGGATCTGAACTTGATCTCCAATATAGAGAGGTAACAACTATATAATGGCAAAGTTTCAGAAGCAATAAGTTCTGCATAACGTTTCTTGTAACAACAAACTACCACTATGCTGACATGTACACACTAATTATTTATCCTATTGGTTTTTTTTTGGTAGGACAGACGTGAATTGATTGATTTTTTTTTTGGAAAAACAATTTATTTTTTGACAGAGTCCAAAGATGACAAAACGTGAGTGTTGTTGTTTGGTTTGGTTTGGTTTGGGTCTCCTAAAGAATACATGTTAATAACTAACCAGAGGTACTATTTTTTACTTGTATTGATATTTTTATTTTGGTTTATAAATATTTTAATTGGAAATCAAAACACGGAGCAGATCTTGCTGGGTAATTACAAGATTTTCATTGATAATATTTTACTTTTTGAATCAATATTAATATTACTATATAATCACAAGAAGATATCAAGGCAGCACACCATTTAAAAAGAGACATTTTGATATGCAATGTTTGATTATCAGAAATTTACAAGTGTTGAAGCACACACGCACGCTACCTTGAACACATACAGTCATTCACTCATTTCTCATGTACATAAGGCTAATCTGACCTGATTGATCAATGATACAATGATGCAATTAAATTTTCTGGGGTATTGCGTGGCTTTGGAGTTTACCAAGATTGCATCAATCGTCAATGACACTTTCACTAATCTTCCCAGATCAGAGATGGTTGCTGGCATGCTAGACAAAAAAGTTGCCTGTAACTATCCCACCTCTATGACAAGGATGGCACTATGTCCAAGTTGTTACAACTCTGGAGGAATATCAAGAGAATCTGCAATTCATTCCAAGCACAGGAGGTTGCAATTCAGGGCAGGGTTGGTGACTATTTTTTACTTGTATTGATATTTTTATTTTGGTTTATAAATATTTTAATTGGAAATCAAAACACGGAGCAGATCTTGCTGGGTAATTACAAGATTTTCATTGATAATATTTTACTTTTTGAATCAATATTAATATTACTATATAATCACAAGAAGATATCAAGGCAGCACACCATTTAAAAAGAGACATTTTGATATGCAATGTTTGATTATCAGAAATTTACAAGTGTTGAAGCACACACGCACGCTACCTTGAACACATACAGTCATTCACTCATTTCTCATGTACATAAGGCTAATCTGACCTGATTGATCAATGATACAATGATGCAATTAAATTTTCTGGGGTATTGCGTGGCTTTGGAGTTTACCAAGACTGCATCAATCATCAATGACACTTTCACTAATCTTCCCAGACCAGAGATGGCCGCTGCCATGTTGGATGAAAAGTCACCTGCAATGATCCTACCCCTAGGGCAAGGATGGCACTGTGACCAAGATGTTGCAGCTCTGCTGATGAATATTAAGAGAACCTGCAGCTCGTTTCAAGCACAGGGGGTCACAATTCAGAGCAGGGTTGGTGGCCCTGAAATTGCATTTGGACTCTGATGTTAAGAGGAAAGTCGTAAAATAGTGTTGTTTTGTATAAATCCTCTGTTTTTCTGATATTAACCAATTTGTGATTTTGGGTAGGGGACTGGATTGAGTTTTTGCCCAATAAGTCCTCTGTCCTGTAGGTTAAAATTATCGCATGATTATATACATCTTTGTCAGCAATATGGCCAACAAGGAAAAAGAAATAAGTCATAAAATGGTTCGGATTTTGTTTGGTATGTTATAAATTAATCATTTTCCCAAATTTTCTGTTTTTTTATTTGACCAACTGAATTTGTTATTTTAGTAAATGGGGGTAGGGTTGTTGTTGAGTAGGCATGGCACTGACAAGACAGGGGACGCCTTTGGGATATACCAGCCAAACTCATAGAAAGGGATCTTTTGTCCAGACTTAGGGTCACATGGATGTTAAGCACAGAAAATGTACACTATCAATGTATATTTTTTTCAACAAAATAAACATTTAAATAATTAATTGTTAAATATTGATACTTTTCTTTTCATAAAAATTACAGCAACTCAGGTTGCAGCCTCCTGAGTTGGAGAATTTTCAACCAGTTGCAGGCACCAATTTTATTCTAGTGAGTGAGGGGTATAACATGCAGCAATCATCACACGAATGTCAACTCTCATCAGTGATCAATGCCCATATGATCAAAGCCAAGCCTGGTCTGAGGAAAAGATAGAGGAATGTTTTGTCCAAAGCCTTCCAACATGTTTGTATTACCTCAACTGTGGGAAAAAATCCTACAGTTATGAGGAGGTGTGAAAGCGCCTTATTCCTTGTTTGTGGCAGGAAAATTTAATTAAATCTGACACCTGCAATCAATATCAGATTTATAATTCATAAGGAACCATAATTGATAATCAGAAAAAATAATTATTTTGATACCAGAAATCTGGGTAGACACACATTATTAAAATTTCATTTCTGCATGGCCTTAGTATTATTACCTGGGTGATGAAATTGTTTGTTATGTCAATGATGATATCAAATATATTATGAGTCCCAGGACTGACTTGTGTGATACTTGTCAGCATTTTAGAGATGGTTTAAATTATAATGCTTGTCAGGAGGAAGAAGCCAAAGATTTGCTCAAAAGATTTAAAGAACATCTGTCTAAAGCCAAAGTAGAAAGAAATTATTACAATAAAAACACCAAATTAGCAGAGGAACAAAGAAAACTAGTTGATCAATGTTATTCCAAAGGTAAAACATCATATTGCAGTATTGATGCTACTGCTCATTATAGTTATGATTGAGCCCAAAATGTTCATGTGCCACATTTGGATCAACAAGTAAGTAAAATTTATTACCTTAGTCCATGTAAAGTTCATTTATTTGGCATTCAAGATGAAGCAGTAAGGGAGCAAATTAATTATGTTCTTAATGAAGATGAAATTATAGGAAAAGGACCCAATGGAACTCTTAGTATGATTTTTGATGGAATTAAGAAATTGAATAAAGGGGAAAAGCATTTGAAGATTACTTGTGATAATGCTGGGGGGCAAAATAAAAATAATGTAACAATTTGATTTTATTTGTATCTAGTAATTTCGGTCCCGTTTACTTCGTCGAAAATTATTTCGTCGACAATCACTTCGTCGACAATTACTTCGTTGACAATCACTTTGTCGACAATCATTTCGTCGAAAGTTTGTTTCGTCGAAAGTTCATTTCGTCGAAAGTTCATTTCGTCGAAAATTATTTCGTCGACAGTTCATTTCGTCGGCTTATGTATCATACTAATGATAAATGAGGTGATGATAGTGATGGCAACAATATCGACATTGAATATTTTAGTATTGATAATAATTATTGTTTTTTAGTAGAGTGTGTGGATCAAACAAATTGGTAATATTTCTTTCATGATACATAAATTTGAGTCATTCGTATACTTGCCAAATTCAATCAGGAATGTATAATGTAAATTATACTAATAATAAATAAATTAAATGGTTACGCTAAATCATTAAATCGAAAATTAGTTTTTGATATTATTAAAATCGTATGATTACATGGGTCTGACAATCAAGTAAGGTTTCTAGCCCAAACTGTTTCTCAAAATTCAAACTATTTTGTCGATTTGGGTTTTTCAACATTTTTTATACAGAGGTAGGTATATTAGACCAGAAACCAAGCCATCAGACGAATTTTTTTGTA